GTATCTTACGTCTCCTCTCCGGTACACAGCACCGTAGTGTGGAGTTGCATTAGGTAACGCGAGATACGGCTGATACTTGCGCATTAGTTTCTGTTATGGATCAGTATCAACAGTCCTGCCAGTAACGTTACTATATTATCAATGCTACTTTAGTTATAGCCTGATATATGATAGCTAACTTTACAATGTTGTGATGTGACGTTAACTAACATTCTGTAGCTAACGCCGGTCACTCACCAAGATAGCTGCCCAGTTCTCCACTGGTTCTCCTCACACCACAGCTCAATTTCTCTCCGATGGCCGTTATTTCTTCTAATCCTTGGCTGCTCCTGGTCTCTTGGACGCCTAGCAGGCTCATAATTATAAGGTTGTGGTCCGTCATATGCATTCAAATATTCATGTTCAACTTCTTCTGTGTCTTCTGTGTCGAAACTAGCATTGGGATTCATGTTTATTAATACGTTACACCGGCCGCTCTCCCCCTTGTTACTCACACGCGTCACACGCGGGAGGTCACGTGCCGAGGCTTTTTTATGCGGAAGTGAACATTTCTTACAAAAACGACGCCAGATGTCACTGTAGTGTACATTTCTGTATATTTTTTGGAAAATCTAGTGTATTCATCATTTTCCTACACATTTATTAACCTGGAAGTTGCTCTTTAAGACTAATTATCTATTTTATCACATAAAAGAAACCACACACAGTATATGGACTACTTTGATTTGTGTGAGTTCCCTATGAGGTTTTAAGTTAGTCCCAACTTGATTTGTATAAATCTAGCATATTTTCAACAAATACATGCTCAATCAACATGGCAATGGAGTAGTATCTTTAACTCAACCCTATTTAACTTTTTGTGTGAACGGTAGAGAAGTTCAAATAATCATGGTTCAATGTATTACCTTGGTGACTTGTGACCTGGTGCAATCTTCAGGTTAACATCTTAGTAATTACTCTACTTTCCTTGATTAACTGAACAAAATCAGCTGCTGAATGATTTCAGCAAATGTAAGCATGCTAACACACTTAAAGACTTCTCTCTTCTGCAGCCATCCAAGTGACATGAAACATCGTTTCCACCGCCACCAGTCGACCAGCAGTCTCCATGGCAGCTTCAATCACAACCACGACACCAGTCTGCCGCTGGTGGCCGAAGAGCCGGAGGAGCACCAGGATAACAAAGGGCCGGTATACGACCCAAAGCAGGACGTGTTTGTCAGCCTCTTTGTAAGTTTCCTTACTTAATTTGTCCTTCCCTATAAAGCCTGGAAACTCATTTTATATAGCCTACTAGAACTTACAAATAATATAATTTATGTTGCTTTACAGAAGTACGGTTTCTACATATCGCACAATGCCTCTGGATTTTGTTACCTGCACACCGAAGCTTCCTAATATTAGCCATCTGAGTGGAAGAAATTTGGCCGAGTTATGGGATTGTACAAAATTATGTAATGGTATCAAATGGTCTGAAAAAAGAAAGTTCATGCACAGGGAAGGCAATTAAATGAGAGAAGGAAAGCAAATAAATTGTTTCGCTTGATTGAGAGAAGCCCTTATGTCTTCTTTGCTTGGAGGTCTTGGCAATGTCCAAGGAATACAATACCAAACATGGAGCCAACTCTGCTAACCTAAGCCACCAAAAAAAGCATTAACAAGTCCAAGAATTAAAAAGCCTACATTCTCAACAGAACACGTGATACGCTCTATCAAAATCAGTTGAATGGCTCATTTCAGAATAAAATTGATTTATGTCAAAAATGCTAACCAAAACCTTTAAAAGGCAACCATAAGCGGATGTGTCCAAGGCTGAAATTGAGTTTGACATCCCAACTCTAAATCATTCCTTATTCTCTACACCTTAACTATTTGTGTCAATGTGAGAATCTGGTGACAAATATGAGTTCTGGTTGTTGATAGACTTTAACTTAGCTGAAACAAAAAAGTGAATATGATTCACCACAGCTGAAGTAAGCGATTAAACAGCTTTGACAAGAATCCACAAGCATAATAGAACTCAGCTATCTAAATGGACAGAGATAAAAGCCGCGTTGACCTGTCATGTTCTAGTTTATGGTTTGAATAAAGTTCTAAGAGTCAGCAGTAAGCATACGTTTAAGCGTGATTACACCATATGCCCGATGTGAGGCCTGTGGCTCTTGCATGGTGCTTTGAAACACCCCTCCATGAGGTCAAAAGTCATGTAGGTAGTTCTTGAAGTCAGAGCGAGCACGCCTCTGAGCGCCACATGTGTCGAGTTATGTTCTTAGTCGGCTTACAGGTGCTTCTAGTTAAAGCTTCTTGATGCATTAACTGTGAAAATGTAATGCTCCCCGCAGCTTAAAATGTTGGCATATTTAAAGCAGCCTATTAAAGACATTTCCCTCAAACATAAAGAACCAGAGGTCCAGTTGTGCTGGGTTTAAAATGAATTATGCAGGGCCATAAGAATGTTATTATGCACACATACAGGGCTTTCCCACATTGAGTTTCCATTATTGGTCCCACGCTATGTTACGGTGTCACATCACGTTGGTTCGGAGTAACAAAGTGGATAATCTGCGTTCTGTTCTTTCTCCAAGAAATCTCTCCACCCTCTGCCTCCTGAGTCCCATCCAGCTGCAGCCAGATCCATTAAGCTCCTCGCCAAGATTCCCAAAGATGCCGAAGCTGTCATTGTTTTAGTTGGTGAGCTCCGTGACTTTCGACAAAGTAGATTAGTTAGAGGAATGTCTTTCTTTCCTCCTGTTTTTAGAGATTCATCGACTTGTTTTACATTTTCCATAAGGCTTTGCCTCAAATACAGAGAAGGGCCATTATACAATCAGTAAAACACCAGAATCATGTCACACTCTACGCTGCTGTTAATGTAATGTCAATACTGCAGCTAAATTGCTACACCCTGAGGACTGCAAAGCTGCAGGATATCTTAATTTAGACAACAGCAAATAATCACTACTGGAGGATGTTAATGACGTGGAAAGTCGTTGTATTGATCCATTTATATTTACATTTGAAACAAAAGAAAAAGGTTGAATGTTGGTAAAGAACGAATCTAAGCCGGTCGTGGAGGGGTCCTGGTCACCCTGTCGGAGTTCCCTTCACTAGGTAAATAATTTGAAGGAAACATGATTTGATCAACTTAAAAATAATTGCATTGCTTCCACAAAGGAAAAAAGTCAGTTATACAACGTAGCAACGGTTGGAACTGCAGCAGCAGCAACGTAACTTAAAGAGACGGCAGCACTGATTGATTTTCTGCCTCTATCCAAGATTGTTCACATTTTCTTTTCCATTAACTAGATACTGCCAGAGCCCTTACCGTGTTCCCGTTAGTGTTTACTTCCTGTCTGTCCTCCAGCTCTCTGACACTTTTAACGTCTTTCCTTCTCTTGCTCTGTTTTCTTGTTCTTTTCTTTTACTTTTCTTTACTGGGGACAGTTTAGCCGTTATGAATTCAAAGTTTGGTGCTATCCACGAATAAAACTATGAATATTCAGAAAGTGATCCATGCGGTTTTCTGGTGAAGAAACGGACATGTGTTTTTTGGGCCACAGTTGAAAAATTGTTAAATTGATCTTTCTGCGGATGAATATGAATTCACATTCTCCCTTGATCAGATCATAGCAACAATTTACAATCAGGAAAGAGAAGACTGTCAAATTTCGAAACTGACCAATCATAATCGAGTATTCAACTTACCTGTGTAATATAAAAACATAATCCGAGATTCTGTTACCAGTAAAGTACCTAAACCCAGGGTTTTGTCTAAACTGGGTAAAAGGTAACTGATACAAAAATCCCCGTAAAATGTTAAAATTATGCCAGAAAACAGCATTTATGTTCTTCAATTACGGTATAATTACTCCAAAAATATGAAAATCGTATCAAATAGACCGTCAGACGGCATAAACAGCTTTGTTGTTAAGGAGCTCCGATGTCGTGTTGTTGTTTACGGGGGTCATGTTCTCGTGAAAATGGATATATATATATTATATACAAGATCAGCGCCACAGTATTGCTCTCTCGAAAAACCCCTACTAAACTCCTTCCTGCAGAGATGTGAAAAATCACTGCATTTTTTATTGTCATTTATTTCCTTTCAGGCAACGCTGAGTTCCTGGAGCAGCCGGCCATGGCCTTCGTGCGGCTGAACGAGGCGGTCCTCCTGGAGTCCGTGCTGGAGGTCCCTGTCCCTGTGCGCTTCCTCTTCGTCCTGCTGGGCCCCAGTCAGGCCAACGTGGACTATCATGAGATCGGACGCTCCTTCTCAACCCTCATGTCAGATAAGGTAGATATAAAACTAAGCATAGGTGTTATCAACTTAGTGTATTATATTTTTATATAAACTAATAACTTAAGTTGATATCTCTGATTAAAATTGACTGTAAAGGCCTAATGTTTAAAGCAATAATTATATTACTGTATTTATTTAAGTGATTGATTTTCCCCATCTTGTTTTTCTCTTTTTTTAAAAGTATTTTTAGTCGGTTGGCACAAATGTATCACTGCTGTTTATCTGTAATATATAAAAAAAGCCTTAAAAAAGAAGTACAAAATAAAGAGGCTATGTTCTTCCAGGACATATGTTTGTAGTTATTCAGTGTTTTGGTGGACATCTAAGACATAATACTTCGTTTTTCTAACAAACTTGACCAAAAAGTCTTGCAAGGAGGAGAGCATAGAAAATGGTTCCAGAACATAAAAGTCGAGAGAACACGCCAGAAGAAAAGCTGCCCATTGTTCCTGTCAAAATAATTTATGTAACAGCCCTTTGGAAGTCTTTGATTTGCTTGTTATTCATTCTGGTGATGACAATGGATTGTGTTTCCTTGCAGAGCTTCCATGAGGTGGCCTATTTCGCTGACGACAGACAGGACCTCCTGAACGGTATCAACGAGTTCTTGGACTGCAGCATTGTAATCCCCCCTTCAGACGTTGCGGGCAAAGACCTCCTGAAGACGGTGGCTGACTTCCAGAAGCAGATGCTGCGCAAGAGGAAGGAGAGGGAACTCAAGAGGCACCACTCCTCCGCTGGAATGGAGCCCAACAACAAAGGTACTCTGTCGAGTCCCTGAAGAGCCAAGGCTTCAATTACTCACACCAATGTTAGTCCTGCAATGGAACACTGATCCATTGTTTAAAGTCAAACTTATTTTAAAGGGGACCTATCATGCAAAATGCACTTTTTTATGTCTTTTATACATAAATGTGTCCCCGGTGTGTCAGGGAACTCACACAGTGTCAGAAAACAAAACCCTCTCTCTTTTTCTCTGTGCGCAAATCTCTAAAAACGGGGGTACAACGGAGCTGATCCGGATTTGCTGCCGATATGACGTAATATCGGAAATGTGGACCCACGGCACTATCAGAAACGTTGCTATCAGAAACAATGCCCGACGTGTTTTGGAAGTAATATGGTGTTTACGTTAGCATCACTAACACTCAGAGCTAAGATGTACTGGAGAGAGTATGTGTAAAAAAGCAGGAAATAAAAAAAGGAACTCACCTTATGGTAAACCCGCAAGAGAAAAAGCATTTGAGCTCCATAGTGTTTCAGAAATAATCCTTGATATGGTTTGGAACATAATATGGCATTTAATCACAACAGCATTTAGCTGTACCTCGTACATATCTTGTATCTTTTTTTCAAACTAAGGACTCCGAACCTGCAGTTCTCTAACAGGGTTGAAACTGAGGGATATGAGGGATGTCTAAAATGCATGATCTGTTTGGTATTTTGAGCAAAATACATCATAGACATGTTTTTTAATATATTTTTATATATCTGAGACCCATAATATATGCCTAGAAATAGTATAATAGGAAACCTTTAAGTTGTGTGCAGACCACCGACTTGTTAAAAATATAGATTTGAAACATTTAACAAATGAACTAAACACTGAGAAATTCCCACCATCTTAGAAAACAAAAACCAATAGATCTGAAGGTAAGATTGGTTGTATTTCAAAATGATATATCTTATATAAATTGTATATATTTAAAAAATCTATTGACGTTTTCTAGAATCTGAAGCTTTTTCAAGCTACTACATTTGAATAAGCCTTTTTTGATTTAGTCAAGTTTCGCATCCCTTTGTATTTTATCAGGAAAAACATTTCCCTTAAAATGTACAGCCTGTCTAATACTTTAAAGCTGCCAGCCGCATAGTTAAAAGGCCAATCAGTTTTGTAACAATATTAATTTGAGAAATTAATATAAATAGATAACATGAATAACTTAATTGTTTGAGATTAATTATTGATTAGAAATTCACATTTTGTGTTTCTTAAAAATCGTTTTTGATACAACCACCAGTGACCGCCAAAGGAAGGCCTTGTCATTGTACACATGGGCACATTATTCATTATTTCTCGTATTATCAACTAAAATTATATTTCCTAAATA